GCCCGTTTCGCCTGAGACTTCCTCGCAGCACGTTTCGCCCGAGACATCGTCGCAACTCTGGGGTCCGAAATGCCGCGCGCGAGGTGGTCCAGCCCGTTACGCCTGAGACATCCTCGCAACTCTGGGCTCCGAGATGCCCTGCGCGAGGTGGTCCGGCCCGTCTCGCCTGAGACATCCTCGCAACTCTGAGCTCTGAGATGCCGTGCGCAAGGTGGTCTGGCCCGTTTGGCAAAGACATTCTCGCAACTCATTGCTCTTTGATGCTGCGCAAGAGTTGGTCCAGCCTGGGGGCTCAGAAGACCACATGTTACATATCCCCCCTGGGACCCTGGGAGCCCCAGGAGGCCCCAGAGAGCTTCAGGAGGCCGCAGGACGCCCAGGACAGGCCCCAGGGGTCCGCAGGAGATTCCCAGGAGGCCCCCTATCAGCACGTGTCAAGTTAATACACATCCGTTGTCGATTCGTTGATTTTTCCTGCTCTTGTGGCCCCCTCCTTCCCCCATTTTGGGGGGCCCCGACGGCCACATGTTAGATATCCCCCCCTGGGAGCCCCAAGAGGCTTCAGGAAGCCCCCGGTGGGGTCCAGGAGGCCACAGGAGGCCCACGAGGAAGCCCCAGGAGGTCACCAGGAGGACCCAGGAGGCACCAAGAGGCCCCCGCAACTCGGAGCTCTGAGACGCCGCGCTCGAAGTGGTCCGGCCCGTTTCGCCTGAGACTTCCTCGCAGCTCGTTTCGCCCGAAACATCGTCGCAACTCTGGGGTCCGAAATGCCGCGCGCGAGGTGGTCCAGCCCATTACGCTGGAGACATCCTCGCAACTCTGGGCTCCGAGATGCCGATCGGGATGAAGAGGAGGAGGAGGAGGAGGAGGAGGAGGAAGGAGGAGGAGAGAGAATAGGAGGAGGAGGAGGAGGAGGAGGAGAGGAAGGAGAGAGGAGGGAGAGAGGGAGGAGGAGGAGGAGGGGAGGAGTAAGGAGGGAGGAGAGGGAGGGAGGAGGTAGGAGGAGGAGGAGGAGGAGGAGGGTGAGGAGGGGAAGGGGAGGGAAGGACGTAGGGAGGAGGGGAAGGGGGAGGAGGGCAAGGAGGAGGAAGGAGGAGGAGGAGGAGGGGGGGGGGGAGGAGGAGGAGAGGAGGAGGAGGGAGGGAGGAGGGAGGGAGGAGGAGGAGGAGGAGGAGGAGGGATGAGGAGGGGAGGGAGGAGGAGGAGGAGGAGGAGACATGTTTGACATGCCATGCCAGCCCGCACTGGATGGGCACGCAATCGACCTTGGAAACGGCAATGGGTCTAAAAACCCTGTTTGGGGATACTGCACTCCGGCTATAATTTATGTTTCGTCGAAAATCCTCGTGTCGGGGGACACGCCCGACATGACGTTTCTGGTTGGGTCCTTCGTCAGGCTGATTGGGGCATCGGATCTCTGGGCGATGAGCGGGCGGGGCGGCGCCACGTCGCACGCGATCGCTCCAACGCCAACCACAAGCATTAAGTCGGGCCTGTCCCCCTACAGAGGGGGTTTCCAACGAAAAATTATCCTGGCGAAGGACCCCACCATATGCAGTTGTGAGTACCGCAATTGTGAATATCTTCTTCGGTGGCGCTCCCTATGGGGCCACGAACCGTATGAAGGTGTGCCGAATTGTGTGGCGTAGCCTCTGCAGGGAGCTCCCCTGGGAACCCCGACAGCAGCCCCCGCGCGCCGCGACGCCCATGTCGGCACGCCCCACACGAGGATCGCCCCCGCTTCCTCCCCTCCTTTTTCCTTTTTCCTTTGCCCGCGCACTCCAAGGTCCAAGGCTGCGGACGCAGCGCAAGGCGGAAACCTCGCGACGCGCGCAGGTCGCCCCGAAGGGGTCGCAGTGACGCGCGCGGTTCGCACGCTGTGTGGAACAGAGATTGCCTGCTGGCTAACTGATAACGCGCATGGCTCTGCCGCCGGGCGGAGCGACGACGGGCGAGCGAGGCGCTGGACAGAGCGCAACGCGGAGTTCGCGCGACGCGCGCTGATCGCCCCGAGAGGGTCCCAGCGACGCTCGCAGGGCGGCCGCGGCGCGAGGCCAAACAGTTGGACAGCCGAGAGAAGGCGCGGCTGTGGCGGGCCGCTCCTCAGTTCAGGCCTCGCGGATAAACTCGGGGCCACGAAACGTGTGATGGGGGTGCCGAAATGGGTGTGCAGGACGCATGCGGGCACACCCACTGGAACCTTCGGTGGAGCTCCCTATGCGGCCACGAAGCGTGTGAGGGGTGTGCCGAAATGGGTGTGCGGGACGCATGCGGGCACACCCACTGGGACCTTCCGTGGAATCCGTATGGGGCCACGAAGCGTGCGAGGGGTGTGTGCCGAAATGGGTGTGCGGGACGCAAGCGGGCACACCCACTGGGACCTTCGGTGGAGCTCCCTATGGGGCCACGAAACGTGTGAGGGGGTGCCGAAATGGGTGTGCGGGACGCATGCGGGCTCACCCACTGGAACCTTCGGTGGAGCTCCCTATGGGGCCACGAAACGTGTGAGGGGTGTGCCGAAATGGGCGGGCCACGAAACGTGTGAGGGGTGTGCCAAAATGGGTGTGCGGGACGCATGCGGGCACACGCACTGGGGCCTTCGGTGGAGCTCCCTATGGGGCCACGAAGCGTATGAGGGGTGTGCTGGAATGGGTGTGCGGGACGCATGCGGGCACACCCACAGGGACCTTCGGTGGAGCTGCCTATGGGGCCACGAAACGTGTGAAGGGTGTGCTGAAGTGGGTGTGCGGGACGCATGCGGGCACACCCACTGGGACCTTCGGTGGAGCTCCCTATGGAGCCACGAAGCGTGTGAGCGGTGTGCCGAAATGGGTGAGCGGGACGCAAGCGGGCACACCCACTGGGACCTTCGGTGGAGCTCCCTATGGGGCCACGAAACGTGTGAGGGGTGTGCCGAGATGGGTGTGCGGGACGCATGCGGGCACACCCACTGGGACCCTCGGTGGAGCTCCCTATGGGGCCACGAAACGTGTGAGGGGTGTGCGGGACGCAATGTGGGCACACCCACTGGGGCCTTCGGTGGAGCTCCATATGGGGCCACGAAGCGTGTGAGGGGTGTGCCGAAATGGGTGTGCGGGAACTCATCAGGGCTACACCCCACTGGGACCTTCGGTGGAGCTCCTATGGGGCCACGCCAAAACGTGTGAAAGGGTGTGCTGAAATGGGTGGTGTGCGGTGGCGGGACGGCAATTCGGGCACACATCGCAGCAGTTCGGTGGGAGCGGAGCTGCGGGAGCTGCCTATTGGGGCCACGAAAACCTTGGAGGTGTGCCGAATGGTGAGCGGGACGCACTCCGGCAAAACACCCCAATGACCCTTCGGTGGAGCTACTCCCCTATGAATGGGGCCCACACGAAGCGGTGAAGGGTGTGCCGAATGGTGTGTTGGCGGGGGGACGCATAAGCGAGGCACACGCAATCCATGGGGGACACCGCACTGGGCATGCGGGCACACGCACTGGGGCCTTCGGTGGAGCTCCCTATGGGGCCACGGAACGTGTGAGGGGTGTGCCGAAATGGGTGAGGACGATGATGATGATGGGAGGAGGAAGAGGAGGAGGAGGAGAGGAGGAGAGGAGACGCGGGCCACCGTCTCTTCAAAACGAGGACCCAACACCAGAGGATGGTTGGGAAAAATAGTCCGGGGACGATTTTTTAAAATATTGTTTTGACTATTTCGGGGCATTTTGGGGAGTATTTTTTGTTTTTCGTCGAAAATCCTCCTGTAGGGGGACACGCCCGACTTAACACAAACACAGAGGCTTCTGGAGGTCCGCACGGACATCTTGGATCGGCGCTGGAGCCCCTCCCTGGCGGGCTCCCTGCGCCCGGGGCGGCGCCGGAGGCCCCGCCATGGGGGCTCCAGCGAGGACCCAAATGCATCCGGGTTGGCCTTCGAGCGTTTCGGCCTGCGCATGCTTTGCTCCTTCTTCCTTCGAGGGGCGGCTCCGTCTGCGAGGGCGGGTGACGGAGGGAGGAGGGTGGGGGAACGAGCAATGACATAACATAAAAGCTCGGAGGTCCGCGCGGATTTCTCGGATCGGCACTGGACCCCATTCCCTGGCGCGCGGAGCGCGCCAGAGCTGGCGCCGGAGGCGCCGCAAGGGGGATCCAGCGCCGATCCGAGTTAAGGAGAGGAGGGCTGCAAGGAGAGGAAAGCTGCAAGAGCGGCGCCGCACGGGAGGCTCTCGAGCGGGCAGAAGTCCTGCGGGGGGGTGTCGGGGAAGGGGTTGAGGAGGCGAAGGGGGATCGGCGTCGGGGATCAGGTGCGAACCCACGAAGAAGGAGCAACGGTAGGGGGGGGCCAGCTCAGGGGAGGAAACGTCGACTTGGAATCGGCGATTCATCGCCGACAGGTCGGCGATAGCCTTTTGATAGCGGACAGGCCGCGCGTTCCTACGACGGCGACGACGGCGACGAGGCGGAGGAGAAGCACGAGGAGGAGGAGGAGGAGGAGGAGGAGGAGGAGGAGGAGGAGGAGGAGGAGGAATGGGGGAGGAGGTCAGGAGGGGAGGGGAGGGAGGAGGAGGAGGGGAGAAGGGGGCCGAGAAGAACACGAGGAGGAGGAGGGGCGGAGGAGGAAGGAAGGAGGAGGAGGAGAGGAAAAAAGGAGGGAGGAGGAGGAGAAACGCGATGACCAGGGATAACCGCGCGGAGGGGGGGGGGGACCGAGAGGAAGGGGGGAAGGGAAGTGGGGGACGTGTAGTGTCGATAAGGCGGGCGGAGGGGGAATTGTCGGAAGGGGGAGAGAGGGAGAGAAAGGAGACAGTCATGCATCTGTTTGCTCAGTATCCCCCTCCTTAGCGGGTGGCATCATAGCTTCCCTCCTCCTCCTCCTCCTCGCCATGGCCCGACGCACGACTCCCCGTCCGACAGAAACTGCAGCGCCTGGATCTGAGGGGACGGGTGGAGGAGGAGGTGGAGGAGGAGGAGGAGGAGGAGGAGGAGGAGGAGGAGGAGCGCGGAGAGGAGCGGCGAGGCCTCCCCAAAGGACTCCAGCTCGGCCGCCATGAGCGCGTGCAGGACGCTGAAGAGGCGCACCTGGAGGGGCCCCAGGACATACAAATAAATACACACAAGTAAAAAAAACGATTCCCCGTCTTTCCCCATATCTTCTGGGTGTTTGTCTTCCCCCCTCTTCCCACAGTTTCCCCTATTTTCGCGGGAATCGACGACTCATTGTGTCTGTGTTTTTTCCCTCCTGACTGGAGGGGCCCCGCCCCCCCCCTGCGGCTCGCGGCGTCCGTGGCGCGCCTCCCGGGCGGCAGGGCCCGGCGGCCCTGCTCGGGCCCCGAGGGTGGGAGGCACCCCCCCCGTCCCCCTCCTTCCCCCGCCCTTCCCCCTCTTTCTCCTGCTCCCCCTGCTCCTCCTTTCTCCTCATCCTCCCTCTCCCCCCTCCTTCCTCTTTCTCCTGCTCCTCCTGCTCATCCTTCCTCCTCCTCCTCCTCCTTCCTCCTGCTCCTCCTTCCTCCTCCTCCTCCTCCTCCTTCCTCTTCCCTCTCCTCGACCTCCTCTTCCTCCTGCTCCTCCTTCCTCTTCTTCTCTTCCCCCCTTCCTTTTCTTCCTTGACCTCGCCCTCCACGGCAGTGAAACTGCTTCCTCTTCCTCTTCCTCCTCATGCCCTTATTTGTCTTCTTCTTCTTCTTCTTCTTCTTCTCGTTCATCACTTTCCTTACGAAAAACTCCTCCCTGCCGCACCTCTTGAAGCGTCGGTGGCGGTCCCGGCGTTTCGCCTGAGACTGCCCCAGTACGTACGGTCCTGAATCTTGAACCTGCAAGAGCTTAAATGATGGAGGACGGCTCGTTCTGACTATGTGGCGCTCGCCTTAGCGCCGCAAGCATTCGTCTTAAAAGTTCGCAAACGTTTCAAGGATGGAGGGCGGGCCCTTCTCAAAATGTGGCTCTCGCCTGAGCGCCGCGCACATTCGTCCTAAAGGTTTGCAGCAGCTTCAAAGATGGAGGGCGGGCCCTTGCGAAAATGTCGCTCTCGCCTAAGCGCCGCGCGCAGTCATTCGCTTGAACTGCTTGGAACACGTTTCAAAGATGGAGGGCGGATCCTTTTTAAAATGTGAATCTCGCAGTAGCGACGCGCACACTCGTCTCAAAAGCTTGCGACAACTTCAAGGTTAAGCGTGGCTCTCGCTTCAGCACCGCGCACACTCGCTTTCAATGCTTACCAACATATTGGAGGATCTTCTGGCACGGTTTAGGTTTGCCAGGACGCACGAGCCACGTGGATTCGCGATGTTGAGATCCCAGGAGTGGCGTTCTGGCGCGATCCAGGATCGTCAGGACACAACTTTCACAGTGATTCGCGGCGTTGAAGTCCCAGGGATGGTGTCCTGGCGCGACTGAGGACTCTCAAGCGGTTGCCTTCTGTTGAGCCACTTCCTGCAATGACAGTACATCATTGTAGGGACCTTGGAGGGAGGGTTCGATGCAACATCGTTGGCGCGTCTGGGGTTTGCACTCTGTCCTCCTCCTCCTCCTCCCTCTTCCTTCTCATCCTCCTGCGCTTACTTCCTCCTCCTGCTCGTTCTCCTCTTCCGAAGACGAAGGCACCATCGCGACACATTCGGACCGGTATCGATCGCAAATCTCTGGAAACCGTCGGGATTGGAGAATGCATCGGGCGCCACGTCAGAGCGTTCCGGAAAGCTCTGGCAATGTTCTGGAACGCTCTGGAACGGGTTGTATCCTCGTCCTAGCTGGGGAAACCAAAAGGTACCGATACTGCTCCTCCCCAGACCTCTTCCTGGGCGCGTTCTGACCAGGATGTCGAAGCGAATCTAGCGGTGGCGACGAGGAACTCCCAAGAGGCCCAGGTACGGGGACAACGGGCGAAGCGTAGCGGTATGGGTACAGTGGAAGCCAATCCACAAAGAAATGTTCCACATGAAACCCAACCCTGAGACCCTCGGGCGCCCAGGGCGTCCATGGATCTTTGGTGTGGGAACGTCACGCCGTCCATCGCCGAACCATCGAAACCCAAGACAGCCAGGGCACCCTGGAAGCAAGCTGGGTGTTTCTTGGCATGGGTCTCCACTGTACCGACCTTCAGAACGCCTCAGACGGCCCTCGGAGAAACTCCGGAGAACGCCCCCAGCCTTTGAGAAACCGGCGTGCTTTTCCCGCGACGTGAAACACCAGAGGTCCCTGCCCCTTCCCCAGGACCCGCTTTTCTGAAGGGGCCCTGGGACACACAATTAAATACACACAAATAAAAAGATCCTCCATATTTTCATATATTTTCTGGGTTTTCGTCTTCCCGCCCAATTCCAATATTTTCCATATTTTCCAAGGAATCGACGATTAATTGTGTCTGTGTGTTTTTTCCCCTCCTGATTTTCATCCCGCGTTCCTCCCCGTGGGCCTCCACCGTATGGGCACCTGTCTTTGCCCCCCTCTGGGCGAGGCCCGCCCGCCCTCCTCTGGGCCGTGGAGGGCTGGGCCGGCAGGGAGGCCGGCCCTGGCGAGGAGGACTCGAGAGGGCCCCGCTCGCCTCCTCTCGCCGCCCTCGGGGGCCCCCCAGACCCCCGACGTAATGATTTTTTCGTTACGTCGACCCCCAGAAGTCCCGACACTTTCCCCATGACCGGCTTTGCATCCTGAGTCGTTTTTCGACGCTCCCGAGGCCCGGTGAGGAGCCCCAGAGGCCGAAGATTAGGAAAAACCTCCCGTCATGATTTTTTCGTTGCGCGAGGGGGTCTGGACCCCCGGGGGGGGGGGACCGCCCTCCGCGGGTCCCGCAGGGACGGCTCACGGAGAGGGCGGAGGTCGGGGATCTTCTGACCCGGGTCAATCCAGACCCGGGTCAGCAGGAAACCAACAACTGCAATGCAGGAAAAAATTAGCCTGACGAGGGACCCAACCATATGCAGGTGCGAGTACCGCAATAGTGATTCATTTTTTCGGTGGCGATCCCTATGAGGCAACGAACCGTGCTAGGGGCGTGCCGACATGAGTGGCGTGGTACACAAAGTGAACGAAAACGATTGATCTGAGTACGTAGGGAGACTGAGCGCGGGTGAATCTGCGCGCGTGAGTCTGACTGTGAATGATCTGCGTGCGAGCGAGTCTACGTGCATGAATGCGAATATGACAAAGCGTGGTGCAAATGTGTATGAATGCCAATAGTTTGACAACGACTGCCTCTGAATACTCGTGACGCTGGGCGTGGCCGCCGCAAGGAGCTTCCCCGGGACTCCCCGACGGCATCGCCCGCGCGCCGCGACGCCAATGTCGGCGCGCCCCCCCCGCGAGGATCGCGCCCGCTTCCTCCCCTTCCTTTACTCCCTCTTTGCCCGCGCACTCAAAAGTCCAAGGCTGCGGGAGCAGCGCAGCGCGGAGCCCCCGCGACGCGCGCAGGTCACCCCGGAGGGGTCCCAGCGACGCGCGCGGGTCGTCCACTGCGCGGAGCGAAGAGAGCTAGCTGGCTGGCTGTTAGCGGGCAAGGCTCTTGCCGCTGGGCAGAGCGACGACGGGCGAGCGAGGCGCTGGGCGGAACGCAGCACGGAGCCCCCGCGACGCGCGCAGGTCGCCCCGGAGGAGTCCCAGCGACGCGCGCGGGTCGCCCGCTGCGCGGAGCAAAGAGAGCTAGCTGGCTGGCTGGGACCTGCGGTGGGGCTCCATATGGGGCCACGTAACGCTGTACTGGGCAAAGGAGACGCATGTGGACTGCGCCACGGGGACCTTCGGTGGAGCTCCCTATGGGGCCACGAAACGTGTGAGGGGATGTTGCCGGAATGGGTGTGCGGGACGCATGCGGGCACACCCACTGAGACCTTCGGTGGAGCTCCCTATGGGGCCACGAAACGTGTGAGGGGTGGGACGACATGTGTGTGCGGGACGCATGCGGGCACACCCACTGAGACCTTCGGTGGAGCTCCCTATGGGGCCACGAAACGTGTGAGGGGTGTGCCGAAATGGGTGTGCGGGACGCATGCGGGCACACACACTGGGACCTTCTGTGGAGCTCCGTATGTGGGCACGAAACGTATGAGGGGTGTGCCGAAATGGGTTGTGCGGACGCACCGACGCCAATGCGGCACACCCACTGGGACCTTCGGTGGAGCTCTCCCTAGGGGCCACGAAAACGTGTTGAGGGGTGGGCCGGAAATGGTTGGGGGGACGCATGCGCACACAACCACTGAGACCTTCGGTGGAGCTCCCTATGGGGCCACGAAACGTGTGAGGGGTGTGCCAAAATAGTTGTGCGGGACGCATGCGGGCACACCCACTGGGACCTTCGGTGGAGTTCCCTATGGGGCCACGAATAGTGTGAAGGGTGTGCCAAAATGGGTGTGCGGGACGCATGCGGGCACACCCACTGGGACCTTCGGTGGAGCTCCCTATGGGGCCACGAAACGTGTGAGGGGTGTGACGACATGGGCGGGGGGGACGCATGCGGGCACCCCACTGGGACCTTCTGTTGGAAGCCCCCTATGGGGCCATCGAACCGTCAAATGAGGGGTGTGTGCCGGGGAAATGGGTGTGCGGGACTCCTTGCGGCCCACCCGACTGGGACGCTTCGGTGGAGCTCTCCTTGGGGCCACGAAACGTGTGAGGTGTGTGCCGAAATGGGTGCGCGGGACGCGTGCGGGCACACCCACTGGGACCTTCGGTGGAGCTCCCTATGGGGCCACGAAACGTGTGAGGGGTGTGCCGAAATGGGTGTGCGGGACGCATGCGGGCACACCCACTGGGACCTTCGGTGGAGCTCCCTATGGGGCCACGAAACGTGTGATGGGTGTGCCAAAATGAGTGTGCGGGACGCATGCGGGCACACCCACTGGGACCTTCGGTGGAGCTCCCTATGGGGCCACGAAACGTGTGAAGGGTGTGCCGAAATGGGTTGATTAATGAATTAGACTAACGATGATGATTACAATGACGATGATTGGGATGATGACGGAAATGATGATGAAGATGGGCGGAGAGGGGGCAGTCGGAAGGAAGAAACGCGGGGCGCTGTCCTCTTCCAAAACGAGGACCAACCCCGTGCAGAACGCGTGCCGACCACTGCAAACGCAGACCTGGCC